ACTTGTGGGCTCAATTGATTCTCCTGCCTCTGGCTTCCAAGTAGCTGGGATAAGAGGCATGAGCCACCACAACTGGCTAATATTTTTTTCTATTTTTTGTAAAGATGGGGCCTTGCTATGTTGCTCAGGCTGGTTTTGAATTCCTGGCCCCAAGCAATCCTCCCACCTCAGCCTCCCAAAGTGCCACAATTACAGGCTTGAGCTACAGCCTGTGGTTCTATATTTTATAATAATCAACGGCCTGTGGTTCTATATTTTATAATAATCAATACTAAACTGAGCAAAAACTTTACACTTTCTACCAAGAAATTCTCTCCTTTGTGATAATAATATTGTTATATTCTCAAGTTTGCTTTTATCCAGGCTGTCAAAAGTTTGTAGTAATTTGGGGATCCTGTACAGAACAATTGGTTTTGGACAAGATGCTGTTTCTGTCCCTCCAGGCAACAGTGGTTGAGCCACAGTGCCCAAAGAGACCATTGTGCTCCCATAACTAGAAATAATTTGTTCCATATAGTGGACCAGTTAACTAGAGCCAAATCTTCAGCAGTGACTAGATAGCAAAAACAGTCTTCATCTTTCAGTCTTCTGACAGTCATTTTAAAGTTGTTTATCGATGTGTTGATTATGCAGTGGTATCGAACAGAGCCCGTCTAGTTCACACATTGTTGGTAGGGGCAACTGCGCTCTCAAGGAGGCCATAATTTGTTCTTGCAGAGTGAAAATGTTTTACTTTTTAAAGATTTAAAGCACAGATATGCTACAGTACATAAAGAGATATACAGTGTATCTGTGGTATTAAAATATGGGTGGGGGAGGCAGTGAGTAGGAAAAATGCCTAAAACGTCTCCTTAAGGGGGCAATAGTTTTAAAAAAGTATTGAGGACTGCAGCTCTAGTTTCATTCAAAGGGATTGATTTGATTTATCTGTATTTGTGCTTCTCAGGAAGATAACCATAATTGTGAAGTTGTCAATAATGTTTTAGTAATGCAACTATTACTGTTATGGGGTTTGTTTTATTCTTTCTGTGGCCTCAACTGCTCAGCTGTGATAGCAGTAGGTCCAATTAACTCCTTGCAATTTGTGTAATCATGAATCGACTTCAGAAATCCTTTAATCACTTAACTTTTTAGCTCAAATGTTGGTAACTTCATTTAAACTCATTTTAAAATAAAAGATAATAATGTGTGAAATATTGTAGAAATATACTTAATACAATTCTCATATTCTCCCTCTGCCATCTAGATGTTGGTTATTTGTTGAACAGGTATTTCTTAGGCAACTATTATGTGCAATGTACAGAGGTTCAGCAGTGTGGGGAAAAAAGGGCAATTTCCTTCTTGTCTTCCTGGGGAGATAAAATGAGCATTAAGATACTGATTATAAAAATTAGTAATTAAGTGACAATTCTTACAATGCTTATAAAAATTCAAGAGCAAACCTCAAATGCATTACATGGAAGAGCATGTATCATCGGGAACTGGTCTTGTTGGAGGATAAGGAGAACCTGCTTCCTGAAAAAAAGATTCTGCTGAGATCTAAAGGGTGTGAAGGCATGGGTGGGGTGGGAAGACAGAGGGAAGAGCATGCGTGAGTGCTCTGAGCAGGAGTGAGCTTGGCTTCAAGGAGGAACCGAAAGGACTAGGGGTGGCTGGAGAGAGAGGAAGTTGGGGTGGATAGAGGTGTGAGGGAGGCTGATGAACAGCAGACCAGATAACATAAGGGTCTGTGGGCTGTTTTAAGGATTTGGGGAAATTTCCAAACAGAAATGGAAGGGGACTTTAGAGTTTTAAGTAAGGGACTGAATCAATGTGACGTGCATGTTGAGTTGCATTCCAACTGCATTATGGAATTTTAGCTAGAGGAGAGCCAGTGTGGGTTCAGAGTATTAATAAGAAGGCTTTTGAATGAGCCCGGTAGGATGGTTGCAGTAGGGATGAAAGGATACTTAGAAATCGGCGAGGGACTGGATAGAAGAGGTGAGAAAGAAAGAGGTACAAAATAAGAAGCTTGGGTTCCTACTTGGGCAGCCAGCCCGGCAGATGGTGGCACATCCTGAGATGGCGTACACCGGAGGAGAACCAGATTTCAGAGGTGGGGTTAGGAGAAGGCAGGCCATGGAGAGAGATTAGGAACTCGGTTCGGAATACTTTGAGTTTGAGGTGCCTGTGAGATACTTAAGTGGAAAAGCCAGGTTGGCAGTGGGATATACCACTTGCCTAGACTTAGAGCTCTGAGCTGGGGGTAAAATTTAGAGTGTATAACTGGATAATTGGAGACTTGGGCATGAAAAAGATAGCCTTGGAAAAAGATATCAAGGGAGAAGACAGCTGGGCCTGGTAGTCAGCCTTGTTACTCCAACATTAAAAGTCCAGCAAAAGAGACGGGGGTGTTGGGGAGGTTTATGCAAAGCAGAAAGTGTCGCGTCACCAGGGAAGGGGATATTTCAAGATGGTGCGAGTGGGTTCGGTGGAATGTTGCTGGGATTTCAAATAATATGGGAATGGCAAAACACTCATTGGAGTTACTGAGCCAGTCTTTCTCACTGAGAGTGATTCAGGCAGAGTCATTGGAAATGCCATTAAAGTATGTTAAGACATAGGAGTTGAGGAAACAGAAACAGCCCACATAAACACCTCAGCCATGAGGGGTAGAGAGAGAAAGAACAACTGTTGGAGAAGGAAGTAGGGTTAAGGAGGAACACCTCATTGTAGAAGGAAGGCAGGACACTGGCCTTCATGGTTGGAGAGACATTTCTATTGTACAAAAGAGGAGAAGTTAAGGGTGAGGGAAAATGAAGTAGGTCTATAGGCTTGGTCACAGGACTTTGAGAACATTCCTGGGTTGGAAATATTCTTATAAACATCCTGTCCAAATCCAGAACTCTCAGATTCCTCTTACACAGCCCTTAAACTTAGCTGTGTCTTCTCCATGGACAATGCATAGACATCTAACTGGTATCCCTCATCTACTCGCCCTCCGTCTGACCCAACAAGTTCTCTCTCTCTCATTTGTTTTTGTTTGTTTGCTTGTTTTTGAGACAGGCTCTCACTCTGTTGCCAGGCTGGAGTGCAGTGACATGATCACAGCTCACTGAAACCTCAAACTCTTTGGCTCAAATGATCCTCCTGCCTCAGCCTCCCAGTAGCTGGGATAACAGGTACACCAGGACTCCGGGCTCACTCTAGCTTATAAAAAGGAAGAAGTCATTCTGGTGCCTAATGAAACTGAAAGAGGCACTATCATTCTTGTATCTTCCACAGACAAAGCCGTAACAAATTCTTGGTAGAGAAGGTTAACAACTTATCCACACCTCATAATGGTTTTCCGCTGTTAGGCTCAAGAGCTACAGTTCAATGCCAAGAAAATCTCATGCCTCTTATTGTTTTTGCTAAGAGTACACAGGATAAGTGTGACCCCAACAGCGACAAGACCAACACTTTGTTCTCCCTTTTTCCTTGCCCCGCATAGGTGCCAAGGATTAGATCATCTCTTAATGGGAAATTACAATTCCTTTAGGGATTAATTCAATTGAAATGTCAAAGAGCGTTGGGTGGGGAGGATATTTTTTCAGCACCTCAATTCAAAAGAGAAGAAATGTTATTTAAGTAGGTTCATATTTCACGTCTGCCCTGCTTCCTGGAAATTCCAGACTTTAAAGGATTTTCTCTCCAAAAGAGATTCTTGCACTTTCCTCACCAAGGTGGATCAGATAATGTGCAGATCTGCGTCACACCCTGGCGGACGTGCCCAGGTCAGGGGTGCTCACTGCGGCTGTGACAAGGCGCACGCAAGTCCCTGCACGTTTGCTCTGGCGGCCATTTCTCTCTCACTCCAGAAAGATGATCACAGTTCAAGAACAAGTGATGTGTATCAGCATAATAGAAACTTTAATGGCAGCTCTAAAGAGCACATATTATGTATTATAAATTATGTATGTTATTTACGAACTCTAGGCTTATTTATTCAGTGAGATGGAGACTGCAAAATAGTATGGGGCCTGACACCTAGCAAGTGCTCACTGAATAGTAACTCTGAGGAAGAAAAGTCAAATGATTTGGAGAGCCATCCCTGGTCGGCCAAGACCACCACAGAACCTTTCTTTTTTTTTCTTTCTTTTTTCTTTTCTTTTCTTTTCTTTCTTTCTTTCTTTTCTTTTCTTTCTTTTCTTTCTTTTCTTCCTTTCTCCTCCCTCCTCTCTCCTCCCTCCTCCTCCCTCCCTCCTCCTCTCTCTCTCTCTCTCTCTCTCTCTCTCTTTCTTTCTTTCTTTCTTCTTTCTTTCTTCTTTTTTTCTTTCTTTCTTTCTTTCTTTCTTTCTTTCTTTCTTGATGACGTCTTACTTGTTGCCGTGGGTAGAATGCAGTGGCATCATCATAGCTCACTGGAGCCTCAAACTCCTGAGCTCAAGCGATCCTCCTGCCTCAGCTTCCCGAGTAGCTGGGACTACAGGCATGTACCACCATGCCCGGCTAATATTTTCTGGTTTTGGTAGAGACGGGGTCTTGTTGTTGCTCAGGCTGGTTTCAAACTCCTGGGCTCAAGTGATCCTCCCACCTAGACCTCCCAGAGTGCTGAAATTACAGCACACCTGGCCCAGAAACTTTCCTGTTTCACTGCTCCACACCAATCTTTTATATCCTACTTTGGAATCAGTGTCCAACACTACATTTTAATAATTGCACATATTTTTATATTTCTTATTGATTTTTTAAGATTTTACCATTGTTCATATTTTAGTTTGTGCCAAGGCACCATTATTCCAGCACTGCCCAATAAAAGTATAATGTGAGTGCTATAAATTTGAATCATGTATGTCATTTTCAATTTTCTAGTAACTGCACAAAACAGGCAAAGTTAATTTAATAATATATTTTCATTTGACCCAATCTATGAGAAGTATTCTTGTTTTAACATGTAATTAACATAAAAGGCTTTTAAACAAGATGTTTGCATTTTTTTTCATGCTAAGTATTCAAAATCTGATGTATATTTTACTTACAGCACATCCCAATTTGGAAGAGCCATATTCCAAGTGCTCAAGAGCAGTGTGGGTGGCCTCATGGCTACTTTATTCAATAGTGCAGGTTTATACTTTACCTGCATAGTCTCATTAAATCCTCTTCGCAGTGGAGGGTAGTTGCTATTACCTTCCACCTTTTACAGTTGCAGAAAGTGATCACAACCTGCTGGCCTGAGGCTCCCCATGCGGTAAGTGGTAGGAGCAGGACTCAAACCCAGTGTGACTGAAGTCTTGTTCTGTAAACACTGCGCCGTGTGCCTCCCAAGTTGTTTAGAGACATGGACTCTTATGTTTTCCAAAAAATAAAAAAAATAAATAACAAAAACCTTGAAAAACTTGAGAAAGCCATTGCAGATCCTTCCTTTTCTTTCCTCTCTTCTGGCTGTTGCTGGGAATACTTGGCCTTCCTTGGCTTCCAGCTGTGCCACTCCCAGCCCTGCCTCTGCCGTCACAGGGCATGCGCCTCCATGCGTGTGCCTTCTGAGTCGTCTTCTCTTACAAGGACACCAGTCGTACTGGATTTAAGGCTCACTAGTCCAATGCAACCCCATCTTAAGTAATTAAATGTGCAAAGACACTATTTTCAAGTAAGGTGACAGTCTGGGGGTCCTGGTGGATGTGGATTGTTGGGGACACCGTTGAACCCGGTGCAAGTGTCTACTTGTATCACACGCTCTGCTGGACACTAGGCATGTACTGTGAGTGAGATGTCACAGTCCCCGTGCGCCAGGAGCAGTCAGTCGTGCGTGGAGACAGAAGACGGACATTGATCAATGACCTCGCAGCTGCTTCCCTGGGTAACAGGTGTCTGAGTAGAACTGAGGAGGAGGAGTGGTTCAGGCTTGCCCCTTAGGAAGCAAACTTCTTGATAGCTGGGACTAAATCTTATTCGTTGCTGAATCCCTCTTGCCTGGTACACGGTTGATGTGCGGAGACAGGGCGCAAATGAAAAATGCTAATCTCCTCATTATAGAAATGAAGTTAAAAGAACCTGGCAAGAAGGTCAAAGTCTTATTTTGAAATTATTCATGTTGGCTGAAGACAAAGACCTTTTATTTCTAACTGGAGAAAACTTCAAGCCTTGAGCCGACTTCAGTACATAAATAAGTCTTGTCCACCTCATCTCCATTTCGGCACCTCTTTCTTGTCCCAATTCTGAATTGGTCTTGCATTCAATTAGTTTTTTCGTGTTCATCAATAATACAATTATATGGCTCATTATATTAGAAAATAATAAAATCAAATTGGAATAATAACTTGTTTTCTCTTTTATGAGTTTCTCATGTATTCTTGGATATTTATAATTTCAGCATATCTCGGTACATTAGTTTGGATATTTAAACTTGACCGTTGGACCAATTAGTTGTTATAAGATGGTGAGGGTGATTCAGTGATTGAAAATATTAATTATCTAGGAGGCAAGAGGAACAAAGTTAAGCCAGAATTGTCATGGTAGAGAAGTAGTCATTGATGTTATCAGAGAAAGAAGGATATTTTGTCACTTTGGTGGTTGCCCTTGATTTTGTCTCTGTTCAGACATGATTACAGAGTAGTGTTGTTTGGGCTTGATTTTATCACAGTCATGGTGTGACCTCATCTGATGTTGAAATTCTGCAAAATTGTTTACATTTATAGGGAACACTGTGGGTTGCTACCAGCTGTCGGTTTTCAGAGCCTTTGTTTCATTTTCAATACAGCGGCAAAGTCTTGTCCCTGCTACCCTGTTTCCCTCTTAGACACTGTCAGGGAGTCGTTTTTATTAGGCTCTTGTTTATCCTCCAAGTATTTTTTTTTCTAATACAGTCATGAATATTCTCATTTTTCCCTTCATAAACTAAGGTGGCATATTCCATATACTATTCTTCACCTCACTTGTTTTTCTTTTCAATATATACCAGAGATCTTTCCATATCAGTACACAGAATTCTCTCTTATTCTTTTTTATGAGTGCATTGTACTCCATCATCTGGATGTATCATAGTTATTACAGAATTTTGGCATCTTCACGGCAAATATCTTGTACCCCTAAATAACACAGCATGGATAGATGCTTATTTGTAAAGCACCGAGCTTACATTTGATGGCATTTGCAATGTAGACAAGAGTCATGACAGATGTGACAAACACTCTGCTGAGCTGGCTTCTATTTTTGGTTCCACCAGCAATTTTCTTGACAAGTCACTTACAGTCTCTGAGCCTCATTTTCTACATCTGTAAAAACAAAGGGTTGACAAATATTTGAGGCCCAGTCAAACTTCATCCTTTTGATCTTATTCTCAAAGCTGAAAACCAATAGTTTGCAGGTAGACGTTTAACAACCCACCCTCCAGAAGCAACAAAGCCCTTATTTGTAGCATTTGCTGATTTCTGTGGTGTAAATTCTTTCAGCAAGGCCAATTTCAGGCTGTTAACATTATAGTAGTCAGTTTGAAAAATTTCCAAAGATGAAACAATTAGCTCTTGGAACTGGGAAAACTTCCTAAAATGAGGTGCACTAATATACAGACATTGCAACCTCCTCAGATAGAAGGTATAGCCTACAAATTTAGGTTATATCACACTTAGATTGAAAAAAAAAAAAAAGAAAACTACAGAACATTATTCTCCAAATCTATCTTGAGCATTCCCTGAAGCGTTTATTAATTTGTAACACAGAAGGAGTGCTTGGTACAAACAGTAATTCACTTTAATAAATATATAAATTTACCCAACTTTGATCTACAAAGAAGTTTACTCACTGGGTCAAAGTTTGCTGTGTTAGTACACTATCTAATCCTGAGTCTCAATTATAGCTGTACATTTTAATTGGCTTTTCAAAAGCTCTGCCATCCAGGCTCCATCCCAGACTGATTAAGTCAGAATTTCAGAAGAGTGGGGCTCAGATGCTGGTTTGTTTGAAAAAAGTTCCAGGTAATTCCAATGTGCAGCCAAGGGTTAAAGACAAATAGTCTTTAGATATTTGCTATGTATGTAGGTCTTCTGATGTTTGCCTTCCTTTCTCTTTTTAAGTGATGTATTCTGTGCAGATACCTACTCATTGATTCACCTAAACTAATTCAAACACAAGAAAAAAATCTTCAACATCCTACAAATATGGCTAAAGCAATAGATCTCTGAAATATAAGCTCAACAGAACTCCAAACCTGATCTCCCATTTTATTCCTCCGATGTAAAATCTACTGCAAGAGTGAAATTAGAGGAAACCCAAAAGTCTAATTCCTCCCTGTGAGATTTAAGTTTGTTTTGTTTTAAAGAAAGGTCATTTTGTTCCTCCTTGTTTTTTGCTGGCCTTGAGAAGCAGCCGACCATCCCGGCGCACAAGAAATTAATTACCCTGGAGGACCAGGTGCAACGAGTTAGTTGGTTGCCATGGGGACTGAAGCTATATGTCTTGGATTTTCCAGGACAGTTTCTTATTTCATGAAATCTTAGTCTTCTCATAAGGATCATTCATAAAAATATAAATATAAGTGTGATTGGATTACTTTTATGTATGTATTGATACATAAACATGAAAAAAGACTGGCAAATAATGAATGCTCAGATTTGTTAAGAAAACGTAAGGATAGATACAACATGCACAAATTAGTTAAAAAAAAAAATCCTGAGACATTTAAAAACCTTGTTAGAAAAACTAGAGAAACCAACTTTCCTGGAGTCTTCTGGCACTGGGAGAATACGCTGCTGAGACTGATAATGTGTGTTAAAGTTGAGATACATCAGCTCTCATGCAAGGAAGTTTCATTATAAATTCTGCTCAGATTATTTTTTCTTTCTTAAAAAATATTTTATTTTATTTTTTTAACTGACAATAATTGTACATGTTCATGGAGTACACAGGGATGCCGCAATGTACGTAACGTATGGTGATCAGATCAGGATACTCATCATTTCAAACATTGATTTTTCAAGTCTTCCAAAGAGAACCCAGTGCAGGGTTGCATCTCTAAAACTTAATTCAAGGTATTATTAATTTAGCCAAAATGACAGTGTTTTTTTTCCTTAAAAGAGATATATGTTTAAATTCATTATTCAAATAGCTTCTGAGTGATGCCATACAATTGAAGTTTAGTTAACGGTGCCAAGGTTGGTTCCTCAGTTTTGACAAATGTACTGTAGTTCTTAACGTAGGGTGTTAACATAAAGGGGACAGTGTGTGAGGAGTATGCAGAACTCAGTACTGCCTTTGCAGATTTTTTGTAAACCTAAAATTACTCCAAAATAAAGCATTGATTAACAAGTAATTTGTGGTCATTACTTGTAAGTTAATTATTAGATAATTGATTATAGTGGATACTGATAATTGTTAATATTGATTGTGTTAGGTTGGCAATGGAAATAATTTGGTAAAATTTTGGGACTCTGTCTTTACTTTGGGATTTTTATCCCAAGTAATAAGCATATTCTAAAGAATAATCCAAACCTGCAGTTTTTGAACTGTTTTTAGCCTCTATTTACATCATCATAACTTTAGAAATGTCATAACTTTCATTTTGAACAAACCACTGTGGAGATTTAAATGACAACAGTAGCTATCTTTGAAGTGCTGAATTTCTTACCTTCAAATGTCTGATACCCTAATACTGTATATCATTTACTAGAGGTCAGATATTTTCACATTTTTTAAATTAAATCTATCTCATTTGATAACTTCAATAAACTCTTATTTGCCCTCATTTGAAAAAATCTCCTTTTGTTTTTCTTCAACTTCTCAGGGCAAAAAGCACTTCAAAATAAATCTGTGCTTCCTAGGGTTGAAATACCTCATCTCTTAGCACTTACAACCTCTAAAGTTGTAGAGAAACCTATGAAGTGCCAATGCTTTATATTCCTTTGGACATGTGTTAATTAAAGTTTACTAATAATTCATATTTAATATCAAATGATATTTATTGTGTCTAGAAAAGCCTTTAGTACATAATAAGTGCTTAATACATACATCTATTAGTTAAAAAATGAATTAAATAGTTAAATTTAATAGTTAATAGTTATATTTAAATTTTTATATTTAGCTTTTTTAAAAAACAAATTTACTGGAAGATATAGACCTAGCCTATTTATAGGAAAGTTGATTCCTAGGTGTCTATTTATCAAAATCGGATTACAGGGCAATCCAACTGAGTACATGACATACCACTATTATACAATGTCCAAATCATAGAACCACTTTGGCTTATGTCTAGCTCAGAGTTTGGAACTGTATGAGTTTTGTGCCTTTTTGGTTCTCTTCCTTTTGACCTGGGCTTCAGGAGTAACTCCACAAAGATTGAGTTAAATACAGCTTTCAGTTTACAATACATAAGAGAGCTGAAAGGTTAGGATTCTTAATATATAAAGTAATTTGAAAATCAATAAAAAGGGTACTTCTGGTCAAAATAGATTGACAGGGACTAGATTTACTCCCTCGCTTGAAACAACCAAAATATCAGAAAAAAAAAAAATAAATGAAACAAAATTTTTAAGACTGTGGACATCAGGCAACAAAGGACAGCGATCCTTGAGAAACAGAAAACAAGTGAAGTGAGACCTACGGTGACCCCAGCTTATAGCCTGGATGGAGATTTCAGGAATCAGCCCAGGGAGAGGAAACCGAAGTGGACCCCAGAATCTACCTGAGCCCACCTGAGTTGAGGAGTTGGAGATAAGAGCCTGGGGAGTTTATGGGGCAGAGTACCAGAAAAGAGAGGGCAGCCCATAGAGAGAACTTTAAAAATCTGCAAAGGGTTTTCCTTGAGTCCTCAGCTGAACACTGAACAGGGCATATATGTGAGGAAATTACCTGAGCCCAGGAAAAGAGCCACTTGACAGAATATAGGTGAAACACTGCCTATTCTCATATACCTGGGAATGGTTCATGGTCCAACAAGCCACAGTGGAAATCCTCAGAATTCATGGAGGCTTGGAGTGCTCAGAAGGCTTTTACTTCGGTGAAATTACCAGGGTAACAATAGCCCTCAGTAGTTGGGAAAAGTTAGCCCTAGACTAAACACTGACTAGAACTTCATAACAAAGCTTAAAAGCAAGGTCTGAAAGGATTAAACCATTTTCAAGTAACTTTCAAGTAAGTAACTGTGCTTCAGGCCACAACTCAAGAATAATTATAGGAATACAAAAATATCCAGCACCCAACAAGTTAAAAACCACACCTTGCATTCAATTAAGGCATGCTAAAAAGTAGGAAATTATGACCCTTGATGATAAAAAAAATCAACTGATGCCAATCTAGAAATGACACACAGGATATTAATAGAATATAGTAGACGAGGATATTGAAAGTTATTATGGCTGTATTCTGTGTGTTCAAAAACCTAGAGAAAAGGTGGAACCTGAAAGATATAAAGATATAAGATACAGAAAAACACAAATAATGGCTGCAATTTTTCCAGATTTGATAAAAAACCATAAATACATATATTTGAGAAGCTCAACAACCCCCAGAACAATAACATGAAGAAAAATACAAGGTACATCACAATCATATTGCAGAGCACCAGTAATAAAGGTAAATCTTAAAATCAGCCGGAGGAAAGAGGGTATTAATACATAACACAAAGAACAACATAGTTAAGCATGGTGAGAGATTTCTTGCCAGAAACAGTCCAAACCAGAAGACAGTGCACTGTGTTAATGTGCTGAAAGGAAGAGGAGGAGGAGGAGGAGGAGAGAAGGAGGAAGAGGAAGAGAAAGAAGGAGAAGAAGGAGAAGCTGAAGGAGAAATCTATCAAACTAGAATCCTATATCTGTTGAAATTATCTTTCACAAACCAAGGCAAAACAAAGTCATTTTGAGTCACACAAAAACTGAAAGAAGTCATCAGCAGCAAACCAACACTGTAAGAAATATTGAAGCAAATCCTTCAGGCAAAAGAAAAATGATACCAGATGGAAATCTGGATCTAAATCAAAGAATCTAAACAACACTAGAAATGCTAACAAAAGAACACCAGAACATATATTTACGTGTATGAATATGGAAGTCTTTTTTTTATTAATGAAGACTTTTTAAAAGTTTATTGTCTAGGGCAAAAATAACAATGTATGTGGGGTTTATAACTCACATGGAGGAAAAATGTATGGCAAAAATAGCACAACTAGCCAAGAGGGGAGACATTTTCTAAGGTTCTTATACTATATGTGAAATAGTATAATATTACTTGAAAGTAGACTGTGACAAGTAAAAGATATATGCTATAAACCTTAAAACAGCTACGA